ACATCTCAAGAAACTAGAAAAGTAAGAATAAACCAATCCCAAAGTTAGTAGAAGAAAAGAATAATAAAGATCACAACAGAAAAAAATAAAATTAGGACTAAAAAACCCACAAAAGATCAAAAAACAAAAAGTTGATTTTTTGAAAATATAAACAAAATCAAAAACCAACTAACAAGAAAAGATAGAAGACCCAAATAAATAAAATCAACAACAAAAAAGAGATGTCACAACAGGTATCACTGAAATACAAAGGATCATTACAGACTACTTAAACAACTATATGCCAATAAATTTGTTTTTTCCTCTAGCCCTGCCCCCCAATGCCAATAAATTTGAAAACATAGAGGAAATAGATAAATTCTTGTACACATACAATCTACCAAGACTGAACCAAGAAGAAATCAAAAACTGAATAGAACAATAACAAGTAATGAGATTGAATCAGTAAAAAAAGTCTTCCAAAAAAGAAAAGTTCAGGACTGGATGGCTTCACTGCTAAATTCTACCGAAACTTGAAAGAAGAATTATACCAATTCTTCTCAAATCATTTCAAAATATTGAGGCAGAGGGATTTTTTCCTAACTCTTTTGACAAGACCAGCATAATTCTGATACCAAAACAGATGAGGACACAATAAAAATAGAAAACTATTGGCCAATATCCTTGATGAACATACATGCAAAAATCCTCAACTAAATACTAGCAAACTGAATTGGACACTACATCAAAAAGGTGATACACCATGATCAAGTAAGATTTATTCCAGGGATGCAAGAATGGTTCAACATATATAAATTAATAAACATCATAAATCACATTCATAGAAAGACAAAAACCATATGATCCTCTCAATAGATGCAGACAAAGCTTTTGATAAAATTCAGCATCCCTTCATGATAAAAACTCAATGAATTAGGTATAGAAGAAAAGTACCTTAACATAATAAAGGGCATGTATGACAAACCCACAGCTAACATCTTATTGAATAGGGAAAACTGAAAGCTTTTCCTCTAAGAACTGAAACAAAACAAGAATGTCTGCTTTCACCACTCTTATTCAACATAATACTAGAAGTCCTAGCCAGAATAATTAGGCAAAAGAAAGAAATAAAGGGTATCCAAATTGGAAAGGAGGAAGTCAGATTGTCCCTGCTTGCAGATGATACGATCTTATATATAGAAAAACCTATAGACTCTACCAAAAAACTCTTAGAACTGATAAACGAATCCAGTAAACTTGCAGGATACAAAGTTAATATGCAAAAATCAGCAGCATTTCTATACATGAACAAAAATTATCTGAAAAAAAAGCCAAGAAGGCAATCTCATTTATAATAGCTACAAACAAAAAACAAAAAACAAAACCCAAAACAAAAAAAACTAGGAATAAATTTAACCAAGGAGGTGAAGGACCTCTACAAGAAAAAGTATTAAATGCTGATGATAGAAATTTAAGAGAATGCAAACATATCATGCTTATGGATTAGAAGACTTAATATTGTTAAAATGACAATACTAATCAAAACAATATATAGATTCAAAGCGATTTCTATCAAAATACCAATGACATTCTTCACAGAAAAATAAAAAGATTTCTAAAATTTGTATGGAACCACAAAAGACCCCAAATAGCGAAAGCAATCTTGAGCAAAAAGTACAAAGCTGGTGACATCACACTACCAGGCCTCAAAATATGCTACGAGGCGATGGTAACTAAAGCATTATGGTACTGGAATAAAAGCAGACACACAGACCACTGGAAGAGCATAGAGAACCCATACATTTATCCACATATTTACAGCCAACTGATTTTTGACAAAGGTGCAACGAACATTCACTGGGGGACAAAACAGCCTCTTCAATAAATGATGTTGGAAAAACTGGATATTCCCATGCAGAAGAATGAAACTAGACCCTAACCTCTCAGCCTATGCAAAATCAACTCAAAATGAATCAAAGACCTAAATGTAAGACCTGAAGTAATAAAACTACTAGAAGAAAACATAAGGGAAACACTTCAGGATATTGGTGTGGGAAAAGATTTTATGAATAAGACCACAAAAGCATAAGCAACAAAAGTAAAAGTGAACAAATGGGATTATGTCAAACTAAAACTACTCTTCACAGTAAAGGAAACAATCAACAGAGTGAAAATACAACCTACAGAATAAGAGAAAATATCTGCAAACTACTCATCTGATAGGGGATTGATGTCCAGAATATACGAGGAACCGAAACATCTCAACAGCAAAACAACAACAGCAACAATTCCTCAGGGACAGTATAAAAATAAATAAATAAATACAGAACAACAAAACGAAGCCCTAATCTGCTTAAAAAAAGGATAAATGATCTGAAGAGACATTTCTCTAAAGAAGACATACAAATGGCCCAACAAAATATGTGAGACATTGCTCGATATCACTAGTCATCAGAGATATGCAAATCAAAGCCACGATGAGGTATTATCTCCCCGCAGTTAGTATGACTATTATCAAAAAAATTTTAAAATTTCTGGCGAGGATATGGGGAAAAGAAAACTCTTGCAAACTGTTGGTGGGAATGCAAACTAGTATGGCCACTGTGGAGAACATACGTAGGTCCCTCAGAAAACTACAAATTGAACTACCATATGATCCAGCAATCCCACTACTGGGAATTTATCTACAGGAAAGGAAATCATTATAGCGGAGAGACATCAGCGCCTTCTTGTCTACTGCGATACTCTTCACAGTAGCCCAGATGTGGACCTGGGGGTCCAACAACTGATGAATGGATAAAGACAGCGTGGTCTATATATGCCACAGAATACTATTCAGCTATAAAAAAAGACTGAAATCTTGCCATTTGCAGCAACATGAATGGAACCGGAGGTCATTATGTTAAGTGAAATAAGCCAGAAACAGAATATTAAGCATGTGGAAGCTAAGGAAAGTTGATCTCATAGAAGTAAAAAGTGGAACAGAGGACATAGAGGACACTGGAGGCTGGGAAGTGTAGTGGGAAGGAGTGATAGGAAGAGGTTTACGAAAGGATATAAAATTACAGCTAGATGGGAGGAGTAAGTTCTAGTATTCTACACAACTGTAGGATGACTATAGCTAACAATAATTTGGTCCCAAACAGCTAGGAGAATATTGAATGTTCCCAACACAACAAAATGACAAATGTTTGAGATGATGGATATACTAATTACCCTGATTTATTCAGCATACATTATTTGTACCAAAACATCACTATGTACCCCCAAAATATGTATTAATACAATTATTATTTGTCAGTTAAAAAAATAAAAAGTTAAAATTTGCCGTAAGGAAAAAAAAGAAAATAAAACATAAAAAAAGATACCATTTGCAAAAGCATAAAACACTAATAATTTGGGAGAAAAAATTTAAAAATATGTGCAACACCTTTGCAGAAATATATTATTGCAAAAAGTGAAAAAATATCTAAGGTTTTAGGAATTCCACTTGTGTGGAAGACTCAATATTTAAAGATGTCAATTACTACCAAACTGATCTATACAGTCAAAGCAATTTCAATCAAAACAATTGTGTGTGCATTTTTTGTGTGTGTAACTTTGTGTATATGGGTGTGTGTGTAACTTAATAAGCTGGTTCTACATTTTATATGGAAGTGTAAAGGGCCAAGATAGTCCAACCATGATTGAAGAAGGACAAGGTAGAAGGACCGACTGTACTGGAAAACAAGAATGATTACAAAGCCATTATAATTAGAACTGCGTGGAGTTCTGTGTGGATCAGAGGTAGACTCCTCGACCAATGGCAGAAAACACAAAGCCCAGAGATCACTCATTCATGATATGGACATTGGAGTCACGACTAAGTGGAACTACAGTATACCTTGCAGCTCCACCTGTAAGAAGGAACCCCAGCACTTAGCAGGCCTTGGCAGGTTCTAGAAAGAGCATACTCCACACCTGGGAAAACTGTTCCACCCATACACCAGAGAACACAGAGGATGCCAGCTCTGAGAGGCCTCAGCAGCAGATCCGGACCACAGGACAGAGCCTTGCCACTAGGCCACATGGCCTAGCTGACGGCCTATCACAGAAAGTTAGCAGACGTGGGAAAAGATATTGTGTAGTATTCACGGCAACCCCCAAAAAGAGAATCTCCACCCAGAAGCCTGGGGCTCTAGAACAAGGCTGTGCCATATATTGCAGAGAATTATAGACCTTCTGATCAACAGGGCCACTGGGCCCTGGTTGAGATAGGGTACCTGACCACGGGCAGCAGTCAACTGTGTTCCCAGAAGCCGAATAAGCAGGAAGCCCAGACACCATGTCGCAAGCTAACACTGCACCATCACGCCTCCCTTGGTGCTCACCTCCCACCAGTGAGGGGTCCCTGTGAGCAGCTGACAGCAAAGGAGACAGAAAAGGCCCCCGCTTGGTTGGTAGACAGATGGGCTCAGGTGCGGGCAGAAGCAGCAAGCAGGTGTTGCCACCTTGGCCTGCACTCAGGGACGGCCCTGAGAGGCAGCAGCGAGAGGCCCTCATCCTATGGGCAGAACATCCCGACAGGCACCTGGTCATCTGCTTTTTGTGGAAAGAGAAGCTGCCCGAGGTTGTAACACACTCAGAGACCGTGGCGAACGGCCTGGCCAGCTGGTCGCAGACTGGGAGGGAAAATATCGGAAGGTTGCAATTCATTTTGCTTTATTTATTCCAATAGAGAGTTTTAGTCTTTTATTTGTTTCCTCATAAAGTCAACACAACTCAAAACTCCCTCCCATCCAAAATCATTTAAGCCGAAAAAAAGAATTGAGTTGCGTTTGCGATAACAATCCCAGGATTGTTACTGTCAAATTTGTTTTTAGCCACATTACTATAATTGTGACAAATACCTCAATATTGGTAAACTAAGCTAATTTACATTTACTGCTTCATTGCGTCTGATATCCATGACTCTGTACAAATCTCCTGTGCTATTTTCAATAACAAGATTATGCATGTAATACGAGTAAACTTTCTCTTACCCCTCATGTCCTCCGGCTAGTCTCCAGAGGCCGAGGACAGCTCGTTGTTTATCTCTGTGACAAGGTAGATGTTTAATCAAATACTCCTCTGGGCAATCATAGACTGCATGTTCTCTGGTTAGCTTCATAAGAAATGTAACAGAAAATTTACTTATAAAAGACTCACGTTAAACTTTGGTTTATTACATGATTTTGGGAAACTAGGATCTAAAATATAAAATGTAGGGAATTAAATAATTATTATATGTTCTTTAAAATAACATACAGTGTTTCATATTTTTACAATAAATTACTTCCTTGATCTGCAGATTAATAAATAACAGTTTCTGATATCTTGTGCTTGCCTCTAGAACATTTCTTGGTCTAGACCTGTACTGTCCACTATGGCATCCATGAGCTGCATGTGGCTATGGAGAACTTGAAAGGTGACTCTGAATCAAGTTGTGCTGTGAGTGTAAAACACAAACTGCATTTCGATCACAAAGTATAACAAAAATGTAAAATATTATATTAATAATTTTTATGTCAATTACATGCAAAATGATAATAATTTTTATGTGTTGGGTTAAATATCATATATTATGAAATTTAATTTCACCTGTTTCTTTTTACTTTTACAATGTAGCTACTAGAAAATTGAAAATTATATATATAGCTTGCACTGGAGGCTTGAATTATATTTCCATTGGGCAGCACTGGTCTAAATATGATTAGAAAAATTGTCAGGATATCTGAACACATGGGTTCCAGGAATAGTCTTTTAATTATGAGTAGTAGTAGGAATTGGCATTAGAGTCCTCAGTTCTGGGAACTCTAAAAGTGTGTCAAGTATTTGTCTGGAGCTGCATAAGATCTGTGTTAGTTAATAAGCTCCTATAACTGCCATTACTTTTATGGTTAATAAAATAAAGGTATAATGAATAAAATATTTGCACACATGGAATGCAAATTGTGACAGTTATCTTCCCAAATCTCCTACTGTTATTAAGTCTAAACTCAAATTCATACAATGATCATGGTTGTGTCTTTACTCTTTCATTCACATGCTAGACCGTCGCTGTGTTAAGGGAGATTTATGGGAAGGGCTGAAGGAAAGTCAGTGAGTAGAACAGCAACAACCAGAAAGCAAAGCACACAGCTCCAGTGATAACATAGAAACACAAATACTATCAGGCACCCATTCCAGAGAGCTGGGATTTTCCTCTACTTTCCCCTCCCCACTCTCCACAGTCAATTATTCCTTCCATTCGGTATCCTTAAATAACTCTCAAACCTGTTTCTTCATCCTCACACCCATTGCTACGGCCTAAGCAAAACCCCTTATCATCTTTCCCAGGACTGTTGCAGTGTCCATGGCTTGGGTCCCAAATTCTAATTCCCTTTGAATCCTATTATTTATTCTTCAAATGTGAACCAACTGAGCCTTTTCTTTCCTAAAATGCAAATCTGTTCAGCTCCTTTATTAAAAGTTTTGTAAAAATATGGACTGCCCGTGATAAAGTATGCACTGCTTAGAAAACATTCAAGACTTTCCCTTCTGCCCACCTTACCCACAGTCCCCACTGTGCCAGCGTGTTGGGCTACTCCATGCTCCACTAGTGCGCCAGACCTGCCTGGGCCTTTGAACCTGCACACAGTGCATTCGCCTGGGATGCCCTACCTCCCCTAACTGCCTTCACCTGATCAACTCGTATCATCCTTAAGGGGTTATGAACTGAAGTTTGTCCCTCCAGATTCACATATTAAAGTCCTGACTCCCAATGTGACTATATTTGGAGATAGAACCTTTAGGAGGTAATTAAGGTTAAACGAAGTTATAAGGATGAGGCCCTAATCTGATAGAATTAGTGTCCTTATAAGAAAAGACACCAGAGAGCTTGCTCCTTTCTGTCTCTCTCTCTCAGTTGTGTGAGGGCACAGCTAGAAGGTGGCTACCTGCAAGCTGGGAAGAGAGCCTTCAACGGAACCCAACCACACTGGCCCCCTGATCTCAGACTTCCAGCCTTCGGAACTGTGAGAAAACAAATGTCTGTTATTTCACCACCCAGTCTGTGGTACTTTGTTATGGCAACCTGAGCTGACTCATACAGAAAGCTCTGCCCAGCCCTCAATCCCAGGGAGTGCACTCCAATGTCCGAGACGGGTGCCTTTCTTCTGCTCACTCACAATACCTGATACTTTAATCAGAGCTCACATCATGTGTGGTTATTGCCATTTTAATCTTCTATGTTGCTCTCTGAACTCCTTGAAGGCATGGAAAGCCTTTTTATTCATCTTTGTATTACAACTCCCGGCACTTAGTTGGTTTACATTGAAAGAGGTGCAGGCAGAGGCGACCCTTGTTGGTTGAGCATATAGAAGTGCTTTATAAAAATACTCCAAGGCAAATAAGAGTGTTTGGGGGAATAAATTGTTCGTAGAGTTCTGGTAAGTAACTTCTGACTTGAAGCCATCCAGCCAGCGAAAGCGGCAGGGATCACGGCCAGGCCAGCAGGTGTGGCTGGAGCCATCTCCGCCAGCCCTGTTTCACGGGAAATGTACCGGCCACCACACTTGGTTATTGCTCTCAGTGGAGGCTGGGGTGTCCCATCGAGGCATCCTTGTGAAAGGAATCTGCTCTCTCCTCCTGTGACAGCAGATGCAAAAGATTAATGGCAAGGGATAAGAAGGAATCTGTAGTCATCAGAACGCTGTAACCCGATCTCTCAGAGAAACACCAGGGATTGTGTATTTGAGATGCCTCCATTTCTGCAAGCTGTTCCGTCCTCACACTTTCCCACCGCAAAACTAACAGGGGCCACTTTTCTTACTTTTGGCTAGGGCTATGTCCTCTGTTTCTCCCCTCAGATGAACTTTGTAAACGGAGTCAATTCTTTGCTATTTAATGAGAGCCCAGGTAACAGAGATATGATGTCATGCATGTTCTTTTCTTGTCTTTATCAGTTATCTTTCTCTTTCCATTTGTGACCTACCTAACTTTTCATTTTCCAGGTATGTAATGTTAAGTTGATTGTGCAAGTTAGATTTGGCAGATTTTGATGGTATGCTGGAGAGTGTGCAGAAATGGGGGGTGAGCCACCTGAAAGACTGCCAAGTGGCTGCTGAAAAGATAAAAAAGCATAGTTTATCCATCAGCCTACATGGAGCTGGGCATAGCAAGTTCTGGGTTAGAATTCTGACAACTACTGATTTCCTGTGTGCTCTGATAAGTTACTTGACTTCTCTGAACCTCACAATATATAAAACGGAAATCATGACACTTGCTCTGTAGTGTTGCAAAGCTCAGAGATAACATGCATAAGGCACTTGGTGAATGTGAGCACTCTATAGATGTGAACTATTATTAATGATACCCCTGTTGGCCATTATCCTGGGAAGGCATTTACCTCTTTTGGCAAGGGAGAATTAAAGATGACTAAGGCAGATTGCAATTGTGGGACAGGAAAGGACCTTATGAGATTGCTATATCTTGATTTAGTAATGTCTAAATCATTCCTGATAGATAGTTTTCATTTTCTTTTTTAATATCTCTGAGAATGGAGACTTCAACACTTTACGAGGAGATTTATCCTAGTGATTCATCGCCATCATGGTTAAAAGGTTCTTCCTTATATTCAGCAGAAACCTGTCTGGTTTTAATGCAAGCTCATTTCCTCACATTCCAGCCTCAGGGGAAAGGGAGAGAAGCCCGGAGTCCTCAGCTGAGAAGGCCTTCACAGACTGAGCGCCAGCACCCTCACTCCTTTTCGGTTTCTCCCTTGTGCTAACTGACCACAGGGCCTCTAATAGCTCCTCATGGACACTGGTCCCCAGCCGCGTTGTCATATCTGATCCTTTTATATGAGGCAGGTTTGTTTTCCCCACATTTGGTTAAAAGTCTGATCTGGCCCTGTACTCTTGGCAGAGTCAAACTATTACAGAATGAAAGGGAAAGATGCCTTCTCAAGCCCCCAAAGACCCACCAACGAACAGCATTTTGATGGCATGCTAACAAATCCCAGGGCTCATCATTAGAATAAAATTTCCTGTCATAAACAGAGGATTTAGAAATGATTCTAATATCTTTTGTGATGCACCATAGTAATGTAGCATGGTGGTTAAGAATGCATTCTGGAATCACAGACACTCAGGTTTGGAACCTCAGCTCCTCCACTTGCTAAATGTGTGCCCTTTACCAAGTCACTTAACTCCCCCCAGCCTCAGTTTTCTCCTCTATAAAAGGGACAACACAAGTGCTAACCTCGTAGGGTTCCTGAAGTGACCCTAGGTCCCAGTTATCTGTGTGCTGGCCCTCGGCCCCAAGCCCCACACAGTGCCTCTGCCATGGACGGCATCCTGCACGTGTCTCCTTCCCAGAGAGCCCTGGGGTGGACTTCCTTGGACGGAGCACTGGAGGGACACTGCAGGAGGAGGGGCTCCCTGCTGCACAGTGGGTCCGTGGTGAGGAAACTCTGCCCCAGCCTCATGTCCAGAAGCTTGGCCTGGCTTGGTGGCCTTCCATGCCCTCTTGATGGGAAGATGAGCACCTTGAAGGCTCCTCCCACACTGCACCCTAATCCCCCCTGCCGGCTCTGCTCTCTGAACGCCCACCCTGCTCGTTGCTAACCACCTGTACTCCCAAGGGCTGCTTTCTGCTTGCCCGGTGACAGCACATCAGCCCTAGTCTGGAAAACCAGGAAACGTCCCTGCTATTCAGGGGCTGAACTGTACCTTCTGCAGCAAACTCTGAGCCCCAAAGCCCTTTCAAGTTTGTCCTTCCTTTGGTATTCTCCATAAGCTCTGGGGTAGCATGTAGAGCATCTTTTTTTGCAGGCAGAGTCTTGCTCTGTCACCCCCAGGTAGACCGCAATGGTGTCATCGCAGCTCACAGCAACCTCAAACTCCTGGGCTCAAGTGATCCTCCTGCCTTAGCCTCCTGAGTAGCTGGGACTACATGTGGACCACAATGCCCAGCTAGTAGAGACAGGGGTCTTGTTCTTGCTCAGGCTGGTCTTAAACTCCTGAGTTCAAGCAATCTGTTTGCCTTGGCCTCCCAGAGTTCTAGGATACAGGCATGCCCGACCCTTATAGTCGATTTTTTATCAGAATTTAATAATTATTTATATCAAACTTCTGATTAACTCTCCCTGTGGTTTCTCTCTCCTGACCAGTCAGTATCCAGACTGAAAGGACACGAAAGCACCCCTCTTGGATCTCTGACTGCGGGAGACGTCTTGATTGGAGGCCCTCCCAACTGCTGTGCTGATGGAGCCCAGTGTCCATGCCAGTCCACACTGTCAAGGCTGCCCTCCACTGATGATGGAGCACGGCAGGGAAATTAGGGCGGGCTTGTTCTTGGTTGGTGTGGGTGCCTTTGATGGGCAACCCATACACTTCCTTAAGACTGCACTGTGGTCTAAGATTTCTCCCACCCAACTTTCCTTTTCTCCCAGTCCTTTCTGCAGCAGTTAGACCTACACTGTGACCTCTCCTTTCTCTCCTCCCCAGGTCCCCTCAAATCTGTTTCCCCATTAATCTCTTGCAGATCTAATCCCATCTTGGTGTCTGCTTCTTAGAGGACCCAAGCAAACACAGTTACTATATTGATAATAATTAATTAATTAATACAGGTAAAGCACATAGCTGGTGCTTGACAACTGTTGGATATAAGGATACTGAGGATGACAATGATGGCCAAGGTGTCATAATCCCTTCCTATCAAGGTATCAATGCTAAGTAACATCTTGGTTTTGTTTGCTAGTGAAGAAGTAATAACTATTGTGCAGGACAAGTCCCCCAGTGGCCTTGGCAACCCAGCTCTTTTCCTTCTTTTCACTTATCATTCTCAAGGATAACTGTAGAATGTGCTAGGAAGGCAATATCTGAGATAAGACAGAACAGCCAGGCTCTGCTCCCATCCTGCAGAACAGGACGTCTTGCAATGCTTTTGTCCAGTGAGTCTAGTTGCTCCCTGCCATAAAACTCAGGACAGATGGTGATTTTGGGGTCCTTCAGCTATGGTGCAATGTGGGGCATGCACAGACCAGACTGCATCCAGCCTGGGCAGCTTTCCTGAACCCTGGGGAACTGGCCTGCCACGAATCCTTGGCTTCTCTAATCCCTGGCTGCCTATCTGTAAGTAAGTTGCTTCTCTTGTGTGAATTTTCTGTCCCACCAGACTCACGCAAGTGGACTGATGCTGGTGCATGGCATTGGCAAGGTGTTCAGTGTCTTCTCCTGGGATTGACACTGAAGCACTGTGAACCTGCTTCACATATTGATCTTCTGATCACTATCAATCAGGGACACAGGTGTGCTGTTTGATGGCACCCCTGATTGGTGGTATTTCTAAAACTTTTAATTCATCTTCCTTCTCTGCATTTGACAATAAACACAATGCCAGCAAAAAGTCCCAAGTAGCAATTTGGAATGCTGTGTTTTAGTACACAAGATCGTTAATATTTTATTCTGATAAGTTGAAGAAATATGTAATAATATGGGAAGACATTAGCTTTATATGTTACAGGATATTCTTTTCATCTCAGAAGATTTTTCTGATTTTTGTGTCTCTAATTTAAATCTAGAAGCAGCATAAACCGCTATCTATGTTCCAGTTCACCCTTAGATGCCCATGTTCTTGGTCTGGCAGCCCTACATGCCAAGGAATTCATGTTTCTCTATTATTATGACTGGAAGGAAAAATACATTAGTTGTTTACAGTGTTTTTGAAATGGACTAAAAAATCACTTGTCTTAATAGTTGCATTTCAAAGTTAACACTAATGGAATTTTTCTTTATATCTGGAAACTGTACACTGATCTGAGCATCCTTTTCACATATAATGGGAAAGAGCTTGTGCTATGTTAGAGGAGGAAAAATAGTAGGTAAGAAACCTAAGACAGTTGGTTTCATCCCATTTAATGTGAGTTTGATCATGACGCTGGCTGGTTTATCATTCCCAAGACTCCTCCTTCTGGGGTCTGAAATACTCTTCAAGGACCCAGATCACTGAGGGA